GGCACAAAGTAACCATTTATCGAAAGTGTTTTGTTTGAATTGATTAGGCTGATTTGTTTTGGTTTCAGACTTGGTGAAACACGTGATCAAAGAATACCGAAATGTGTACCCTGAAATCATGAAGAGAGTGGCGCATACCTTTGATCAGGTTTGTCTCTTCTGTGAGCTCCACTGGCAACTAAAGCTGGCCCAAAATGTTAATTTCATTCATTGTAAGCACACCGTGGCTGCGATGACGGTGAATTACCGTCCTTTTGCAAATGTGCATCCATCCGTTATCATCATCATGCGCACGTTGCTTTTTACTCTTGCCGCGTCCACCTAACTCGGGGATCAAACCCGTGCCGCCATCATGTCTCAGCACCATATTTGAAGGGATAGGAAGTGAGGTTTGTATACAAAGGTGACTTTAAAAATATGGGTGTGAGACTGATAAGGTGAGCAGTCTGTGGCGCACACTGACACAAAATACATCATCACACACACCAAAAAAAAAATTTCTTTCCACTCTATCCCTGATGGCTAACTTGGTCGCAGTCTACCAGACTGCGATGGACCGGTTGGGCACTTCCGATGTACCGGGAGAGATTAACTTTAATCCACGCAGAATAAAATTCTGCCAGCCATGCATGTCCTTGATTTCGTGCCAAGTGTTGACCCCTTTAGTATCGCCACGCAGCTGACATGGCTCCAACTCCCATCTGCCTAGAAGCTAGGTGTCAAGGTGCTGAAGTGATATTCATGTTGTTCTTATGGGAGCATTTTAAGTGTATGAGGAAAGACGGACGTATCTTCACCGATCCAGCCTCTCACCCACAGTCAGCTAAGATCATCTCCAGCTCACCTTCGACCCCAATGAGGATAAGCAGCAAAGAAAATGGGTGGATGGACAAGATATGACGTGATCAGAAAATGTTACTGTGTATAGCATCAGGAGTTACTTAGTCACAAAGTTATGCTTACTAACACAATTTTTATTGTTTCATTCATCGGTTCAGGTTTTTGGTCTTAAATTGGTCAATACAGACACAAAGAATCAATCGTACATCCTGATCAATAAACTGGAGGCAACAGCTGGAGCCCCGTCCTTCAAGTAAGTCCTCCACAGATGCCTTTCCTCTTTGAAAGCCTTCAAAATGTCTCATCGGTCTGACATTGTCACTTGTCACTGCAGCTCAGTGGACCCGAAGATGGGACTGCTCTTTGTCGTCCTGAGTGTTATCTTTATGAAAAAGGGCGTGGCCAGAGAAAGTAAGCCGCGTCTCTGTCTCCGCCGCGTCTCTGGCGTGTCCCTCACAAATGTGATTGAATCGGCCGTCTTGTTTTTGCCTGCAGGCCTGATGTGGAACATGCTCGGGAAACTCGGCATTAACCCCATGTAAGACTTTCATCGTTTATTTTTCCACCGACGCTTGACTTCTGCTCGGTGATGACACAAACCATACTTGTAGAAAGCAACATGAAGAATTTGGCGACGTCAAGAAGGTCATCACAGATGAGTTTGTGCGTCAAAGGTAAGATAAGATAAGAAAACCTGTATTTGTCTCACAATGGAGAAATTCGCAATCTACAGCACCACTGCTTTGAATATGAATCCACTTTTAATTACACAGCATTTTCCATGTTGGTTCCTTTTATGCATAGTGACAGAAAAAAAGGGTGGGCAAATTTCCAATTTTGCATGGGTGGAAAGGGGCTTTTTTTGAAATGAGTTCCCGGAATGGACAACAGGTGGCAATGTGTGTGTCATTTTAAAGAATTGTTTAAAGTGTCAGTACTTAACTGATGCACTTGTCATTTTCTGATGAAATGATTGCTTTTTAGACAGCTTGTTTAAATACTAACTTTAAAACAAAATAAGATTCAGCGACTTGACAATGTCCATATGAAGTGACTCACTGTACCAGTACAGTACAGTCAGTTTATTTTCTCATCAGAGGTTGAGCCCTGGTGTGTTCAGAGCCAGCTTCTGTAAGACCACAGATTCTGGTTTATACCACACCACACAGCAACTTGGAGGAACGTGCACATGCAGGCATGAAGTCATCATGTGTCTGGATGCACACACACTCCACACACTTGTTTTTTTTTTTAAACCATACGGTCGCCATCGCAAAGCAGGTGTTAGCACCACAAAAAAGAAATGTTGTTCAGAGCAACAATAGTGCTTTAGCTAGTTCGTGTGTGTGTGTGTGTGTACACTCAGGTACCTGGAGTATGTTCCTATTCCTCACACTGAGCCACCTCAACACAACTTCCTCTGGGGTCCGCGTGCTGAGGTGGAAGTCTCCAAGGCCAAAATCCTTCAATTTGTGGCAGAAGTAAGTACCAAACTATTGGGAGTTATACAGTGATGTTATTAGTCCCCTCCAAAAGTATTGGAATGGGTGTGTCTGTCTGTGTGTGTGGAACTGAGCGAATATTTGACATGCCACTGATGCATTTGCGTTTCTTGTCAGCTTCATGACCGGGATCCTCAGAGTTGGAAACATCAGTACACAGAAGCTCACAGCAGTCAAGACAGTCAGGCAAGCTCGAGCAGCCAAAGATGAATTTTGGTTTTATAACTTTTAATGTATTCGATTTTGTAAGCTTGAATGTTTGTTCTCATAGTGTCGGCATATCTTAGTTGATCTGTTTTAAAGTTAACATACCGAACGTTTGAAATGTTTTAATTTTACCACCTGTACGTTTCCGCTCATTAGTCAAATAAAATATTTTTGCATTGGCATTTTCATTGATGCGAAGAATCGCACCCATTTCTGTAAAGTGAAAACAACATGCACGGTGACGTTGATTGAATTGAATTTGTGACGGTACTTTTATAGTTCAGATGAAAGTGGACTATTCGCCAAATGAAAGATTAACTCACAAAATGATGTGTATGTATCACTTGGCACTTCATGGTATGTGTTATACATTGGATATAAAGTCTACACACCTGTCTTGAAATGGTAGGTTTTGGTGGGTTGTGCAGTAGTTTTCAAAAAAATGTTAATACATTTGTACGCATTTAAATACCTTCGAACGTACTCACGAGTACGTTTGAGCGTATTTGCCAGTCAAAATGTTTGGTGGTCCACATTGACAGCTCCACGCTTCTGTAGGATACAAACCATTTAGAATCATGAGACTTAAATAAGAACATGATACCGCAATCATGTTCAAACCAGTAAGCCACACGTGTCCAAACTTTCTTTCATGGGCCATATAGAACCTGTCATCTGAAAACTTTCAACAAAAACAAAGTTCCTTTTGAGATTTGTTCTCCACAGTCCTGAAAACTCCCCTAAAATTATACTTTCCCTCTGTTAGTCCCCAAAATGGGGAAACAAAGATATAAAACTGAAAAAAAAAGACAAAGGATGGTCCTTGTTGTTTGCATGAAATTGTATTTCCAACATCCATCCATCCATTTTCTAATCCGCCTATCCTGAAGAGCTGACGTGCTGGAGTCTATCCCAGCTGTCTTCAGGCAGTAGGCGGGGTACACCCTGAACTGGTTGCCAGCCAATCGCAGGGTACACAGAGATGAACAACCACATTCACAGCTTGGGACAATATTGAGTGCCTATTTAATGTACCGTGCATGTTTTTGGAATGTGGGAGGAAAACCCACGCAGGCACGTGTAGAACATGCAGACTCCACACAGGAAGGCCTGAGCGCGGAATGGCACTCTGGACCTCTGGAATGTGTCCATCATGTCAGTTAATAAATGCAAAATACATACAGATTTTTTTTCACAGCCTTTAAAATGGTCTCAGTCTGGTTTAATCGGCTTCAGAATCAAGGGGAAAATTGACGACTTTATGGTTGTACGGAAAATCTGCATTGACACCCTCCATGAGGAGAAAAAGTCTAAATAAATTGCAAATAAAAAAATTTAAAAAACGAACATGGTATGAGGAAGAAAGGGAATACGTGGGTGGAAAAGGTGCACAGGGATGACTGTGGCCATGAGGGATTGTCAAGAAACAGACAGGGTTCAGAAATCTGGGCGGGCATAGTGAAATGAGGCTGAAGTCAGTGCATCAAGAACCACCACACACCAAAAGTAGGTCCCATTCTTCACCCGCACGAATTGTTGAAATTCCTGCAAGGACGGAGTCAAAGAAAAAAGAACAGCAAGCACAAGACCACGACATCACAGCACCGACTGAAAGGTTCTGAAGCAATTACCTTTGCCCCCCGATATTGTTCTTTCATGCTTACTATGTTACGGGTAATTACCAGAAGACTGCATATTTCAAGCAGAACTATTTAATGTATGTCAGAAAGATCTAGACACGGTCGTGGAGCCTTTTTCTGCGAGACTGCTGAAAAATGTCAGAATTTTTCCCAAAATGGTTCCTATGGTTTATACTCTCTTGGCTGCCTCCCCATCTACATTTTGTATTTCCTTGGGCTGTCTCTTATGTGTGATATTAAAATTGGTTTGGTGAACTGAAAACTGTGATAAATACACAAACAACGCAGGACTCAGCAAGGGGGGAAATACTTCTACAGGGCACTGTACATGGAGATCAATACCTTAAAAAGCATTTATTTTTAAGTTTGCCCTCATAAGCATTAGGTGGTAATACACTTTACACTCATCTTTAATTTTTGTGTATTTCTGCTTGATGAGTTGATCTTACATTTGTGTATATTTTAGGAATTTGTGTTTGTTGTTGCATAACCTAATCTGGTGTTTTATATGTTTGTATATGTTCTGGACTACTGGGGGTACTGAATGGAAGCTTTCCTAAATCTGGTTCCTAAATCGAGGTCTTTGATACTGACTCGTGTCTAATGTGCAGATTGTTGTTTGGTGGCTATTCCACCAAAATGACTCAAATTCACTTTGCCAGTAAATATTTAATTGAATAAATTGATGCCAGGACATTGCACAAATTTGTCAAAAGGCTACCTACATTCGAAAATAAAGCTATTTATATATTTTATTGATGTTGTTATATTTGGTCCACCTTTCTAGTTTTCTAAATTCTAAATTCGCATCACTTGTCGGTGCGTAGTACAACCATCGGACCGCACGTGGGAAACCGCAGGGGTTCCGCGCGATCCTCGTGCAAAGGCTGGAAGACGACGTTATGTCACATGGACCAACGCCCACAGTTGCGAACGCGTGGAACATATTAAATAACCCATTGTGAAAGCCCTGCCGAACTGGATCGGAGGCTCAGGTTCAGTCCCTCTCGGGGTCTCAATTACATTTTCTTCTGTGGGAACGCTGTGGAGGTGTTGTCTCTGTATACCCGCTCATCATGAAGTTCGAGGACATCATCTCTGACATCGGAGGATTCGGGAGGTTCCAGAAGATGATCGTGATCATCAGCTTCATTAGCCGCTTCACGCTGCCCTGCCACTTCTTGCTCAACAGCTTCATCGCAGCCGTTCCTGCGCACCGCTGCCACGTCGCCGCCCGAGACGACGGGGGGATCTTTGGCAATTTATCCCTGGCAGACCAGCTCACCGTCAGCATCCCGCTGGAGGAGGCCGGCACCCACAGCTCGTGTCGGATGTATGCCGAGCCTCAATATCATCTGCTGCTCAACGCGTCCGAAGAGATCCAGGTGCCCACCTTGCACTGTCAGGATGGATGGGTGTATGATAATACCACCTTCAAGTCCACTCTGGCCACCGAGGTGATCTTGTATTCCCCCAGTAGTTGACATTTCCTTCCTGGTTTTCCACGCTACAAATATGAGTGTGTTCATCTTAGTGGGACCTGGTGTGTGATCAAAGAAGCCGAAGCCAAGCCACTGCCACCATCTTCTTTGTTGGGGTGATGTTTGGAGCCGTGACCTTTGGAAGTCTGAGCGACAGGTAACGCAAGACAATCAGATTTTCGTTGTTGACTTAAATGGGGAGCGATTTGTGGCATTTCGGGATGATATCATATCATGATTTTACCACTGCATTAAGTTTATCAAGGTTCCCTGAGAAAGTTATGACCACGGTGGAGCACTAGGTCCACCGAGTTAAAAAAAGGATTTGTTTTATCCTCGTTTGTTAGGTCAAAATATTTCGTTTCTCTCTCTCTCTCTCTCTCTCTCTCTCTCTCTCTCTCTCTCTCTCTCTCTCTCTCTCTCTGAGTGACGAGATGGATAAAAACAACTGGATTTATTTGCTTAATTCACATTTCATAAATACAATTTTAATCAGAATACTGTGTTTACACCAGGGGTGCATAAAATATATTGTAAAGATTTTTGTTGTTCTTTTGTTTTATTTTACTTCCCTTTTTAACCCTGGAGAACCCAAGAACCCTTTTCTTCTTTGGAAAATGATGAATTATACATTAAATGACTGCTATATGCTTTAATCCTAATTCAGGATGAGGGCCAAATTTGACACTTTGGGATTTAAAGGTAGCATTTGAGTAGCAGAATTTATAGGGGCCAAATTGGACCCCGTGGGTTCTCCAGGGTTTTAAATACAGATCAAGTAGTTTGTGTCACATGGATTTTTGTCCATTGCTGTCATTTATATGGCCCATATAAATTGATATGTACCTTATTACCTGCATTTGTGCATGATTTTTGTTGTGGGTAAAGCTTACTAACGTGTTGGGATGAAGAAAATGTATTGAACAAGTGTCCAAATTTGAAGACAATCCAATGCAATTGTGAAATATTGGACAATATGTTGAAAGCATTGTTAGAAAGTGTGCGTTTGTATTTTTAACCCAAAACAAGCATGTTTTAATTTTCATTCTTATCATCTGAGGGCAAAAACAGTTGAAAATATGGAATTTGACGTGACCAAAAAGGATTTGTTGCACATTGATTTTTGATCTTGTAAATGACACACATCGCGGTAGTGTAATGTGATTACATGGAGCTCGCACATAGACACGGCGAGTTTGATTCCTGGCTAGTACCACAAGACTCCGCCAAACCAGGATTAAAAAAAAAAAAAAAAAAAAGTTGTGCAGAGTGTCCGAAAGCAAGACCTGCATAAAAATGTTTCTCTATAAAAGATGTGAGTCACTCTCTTGTCTGATGGGACAAGCTGAAAGTCGCAAGAAAAAAGAGACGTAATGTATGATTTTTCACACTTTCAAACAGTTCCAACGTGTCTTTGTAAAAGGCCTCTCGCGCTGGTCTTTCAAAATACACAAAGGATGCAGGGAGCGGTACTATCCCCTGCAAATGTAGAGTATGGCATTTGTCACCATGACGACCATCGGAAGTGCTAAAGCACTGTGACAAAGCAAGGGTTCTTCAGTGTTGCCAACTTAGCACCACATGTAGCAACTTTTTTTTTTTTTTTTTTTTAATAGACCTCTGTAAATTCTGAAACTCGCAGCAGAGCAGATGTTCACCCGCTGTGTCAAGATTGTCATTGAATGGTGCTTGCGCCAAAGATCATCCATCCATCCATCTGCCACTGGCAAATTTCACAATTTCCTCTTGGGCCCATAAGGATTTGATTGTGTAGTTTCACCCTTGGACGTGGCACTTCACCACCAAACCACCAAATTACATTTGCCAGCTCGCAAAACATTTGCACATGTGCCTGTTATCAGGAACGAATGTTTATCCGTGCTCACACTGTGCTCCAGAGAGTCAACTACAGTATTTGCTCCTTTTAAAAATGAAATGGACTAACTTCGAAGATGACTAAATAAGAATGGCGGGGGAAAAAAAAAAAACAATCTTTTTGTGTGTGACAACGTTGACCGTGACCAAAGATCCAAGCGTAAGGGTCAGATCATGACTTGACCGCCATGTGTTGACTTCCCGGTTCTGCTCAGGTTTGGTCGGAGGATCATGCTGCTGACATCCTATCTCTCCGGAATGCTGTTTGCTCTCACCAGTGCTTTCGCCACGTCCTTCCTGATGTTCGCAGTGCTGAGATTCCTTACCGGCTTTTGCATGACTGGCATAGCCATCGTCTCTGTGGTTCTCTGTACAGTAATTCTAGATACTCTAATGGCATTTTGTGTTCACCTCAACCTCTATTTGAAGTGTTGTTTCATTCATTCATCCCGCATCTGTGTGTCTGTGGGCCCTTGTAACCTTCATCCAGGTGTGGAGTGGGTGGACGTACAGCACAGAAAGATGGTTGGAATCATTGAAAGCTTTTCCTGGACATTTGGGAGCATTTTCTTCGTACCCATTGCTTACCTTGTGACAGACTGGAGGTGGCTGATTGTTAGCGTTACCTTGCCCGTCCTCTTGGGCATCTTTACATGGAGGTAATACAAAAAGCAGCTGGTCTCTCTCTCTCTCTCTCTCTCTCTCTCTCTCTCT